AGGTAGCCACAAGCCATTAGTCCTAGGACTATGGCGAGTATGAAAATCACTGGGATGACGGATGCCATGAAAAGTTGTAGGCCAATACTGGCAGAATAGTACTAAGCTGGCCTGAGCGCAGCGGGCACACATAATATCTCACGTGACACGTATCCACTTAGGAACTTCCCCTATTTCCTACGGTGTTCTGGTCGGGATCACAAAATATGTTCACATGTTCTTGCCTTGTTCCTCGAAGTTTTAACATTATGCTTATTTTTACAACTTTAAACTTCATTCCGACGCACAAAGTCCCAGTGCATGTCACTGCTGCTTTAAGAAGATGCCTGGACCAGTAAAGGCATCGTAACGTGGCATTCAAACTGTCAGCATCTTCACAAGATCGATGGGACAAGAGATGGACGTATGGTGGCTAGCAATTCATAGCACTTCAATTGACAAAGGCCAACAAAGTCAATGCACAGCGGTGATTTCCTCGTGACTCGTTCAGGTATTCTAACATTGGTACTCGAAGCAAGTGGAGCGTGTAGTTGCAAGGTTATGGAATGACCTGGGTGATAAACTGGCGTAAAGCCAGCGCTTCCCTGGGAAGTGCAATAGCGTCATCGAAGTCTTCATCATCACGTAGGCGATCGAAGCGGGTAGAGAGTGAATTCGCAAGGTTGTTTTATGACATGGAACGATTTGGGTTATTGACCGAGAGTAAAGTCAGCGCTTCCTTGTGAAGCACGATAGCATCGCCCCAAGTCTTGGTAATTACTTACTCAAAGCGGGTAGAGAGCATGTTTGCAAGGTTATTCAATGAGACGGATATGCACAGGGTATGGCTGTGCCTATGGACAGAGTGGGAGCAGCGGGACGTGGAGACGACTTGGAGCCTAAGACTTGTGGAAAAGGGTTGGGAATGCAGGGTGGTGTGCTGGACGGACGGGCACCAGGTACTAGGTATTAGGTGGTGCTGCCAGCTGGTGACCGGTAAGGCCTAGGTTCGGAAATGTACGTGAGCTGTGGGAGATGAAGAACGATTAAAAGGTGCAGAGGAGACTTAACGAAGTTGGAGAGCTGTCATGCAGGATCAGTGAAACCATCCGAAAGGCGCAGGAAAAACAACATGAATGCTGATTTAAATGAAAAGACGACTTATGAAAAGCGAAAAACTTTATTATATAGTACATGCTCATTGCATTCCCGCAGTGGGACGGCGTTGGTTCAAATATATTACTCGAGTTTTCCAAGTGGACTAAAGGGGGTGCTGCAGCCTGCAACGCACGATGTGGGATGCATCATGCAGGAGCCAATTGGGGAGCGTTCGGATGCGGCGATCGCGCGAACTAGGGCAGGTACCGAAGAAGGAAAAGAACGTTTCTATAATTATCCTCAGTAGTGTCAAGAACTAGCTTCCTGCCTGGAGGGGGCAATTGTCGGCTGCTCGGGACCTCGGGTTGGACAGGTCAGTTGACTGTTGTCCCCGCTTAGATCTCCCTTACATTCTATACATCCATTGGAAACGGTAGCCTTGTCGACTGACCTTGGTCGAAAGGGATGTCACGGTTGGCCTTAGGTGGACAGGTGTCGGTGCAGTCTCACCGAAAATTTCATATCATACCTGTCAATGAATGCATTTCACTGATAGAAGTTAAACAGAGTTGAATTGCAATTAATACTACAAGAAGATCTGCAGAATGAACGTAACGCCGGCGGTGTTGCATGCGTGTGACTACTTTGCATTTTTATGAATTGGTTATGCCGGAGAGCGGATTTCGTAGCTCAGTGACAGTCCGCAGTAGGTAGGGGACGGCGTCTGGACTCGATCATGGCTCTCGTGGGAAACTACTTACTCTCGTTTAATGCAGGAACCAATGTCCTCAGAATCATATGTATTTCCTGACCCCTCGGGCTTGGCATACTGATACACTCCGCCATAAAAGCCCTATCCTTTATGCTCCTACCTCCACCTCGTCCGCCCCACTCCTATCCTTCATGACCATAGTCTCAAATGATCCTATCTGGTGGCCGATGATCAATTCAAATCGTGTTGCCAGCTATTTTATGGGTACGTGGAGACCAGCTCAGATGTCATTTCGATCTCACCTTGGCTGCCCTCGCAGTTGCCGGTTCTGCTGGAGTCATATACGATTTGGGTGAGCCATATAGTCTTCAAGAATCGCTGACATCTTTATCGTATTCCTAGTGCTGACGTTAGGACAAGAGGTGGGTTGATGCCATTATTGGCAGTCATCTCGCTCAGAAGGGTATTATAGGTCGAACTGATCTGGGTGAGCAGAGTCTCCAGTCAGAATAACAACATGGAATTTTATTTCATTTGCGACAGATGCAACCATGGTCCCTAATGTCCATTCTGTATCTCTGTGTATGTAGATTCCGTTATAGTTCCGCAAGATGTGCTGACTTGAAAATATCTTACATAGGTGCGATACCTTGGAATAGTATATTCTATGTACGTTTGAATAGTCAACCATTTGTTTATTGTGCTAATCAGTCATCTCTCGCAATCAGCATCCAGATCCTTGGTATTTCACCCCATATTCACCGTATTTGATCCTTCTGACCAACGGCATACTACTTACAGACACTGTTCCGACAATCTCGGTCACAGACGCAGTGAGTAGTTTGCATCTATGTCTGCCATTCCTATTCAATCAACCACGCTCCATGTAGGGGTAAGATCCTTGACCACCCCGTTGGTTCAATATATTGACTGTCGCAGCTGTGAGCGTGCTTCGAGTCTGTGAACCTCCAAGGCTGATCGCTAACTCGATTTGTCAGGCCACTATATGTATAACGCAATTATTTGGATGACTCTGGCCGTAAATGTGATGCTGGGTGGTGAGATCGCAGTTCTAATATTCTCGTGATATTGCTTAACTAAAACACCATCCAAGCCATTACGACGACCCGGCTATATGCCATGTATCAGCGATCCAGAAAGATGCTGATATTTCTCGTGGTCACCCTCCTGGCGGTCAACATCTCCAACGGAGTGCTCCTCGCAATTGGAATGTGGCGTGCTTCAGAGGGTAGGCTTTAGGTGAAACACTTGGACGCCCCAGGCTCATTGACATTTACTTACCAGAGGAGCTCATTGTCTTCGGCACCTATCAGTGCACTGTCAGCTACGAGGGAGATGTCCAAATTTTGAAGGCCATGCCTTGGATACTCAGCGTTGCATGGGAAATCCTTGCATTGTGTCTCGCAGGCTGGATTGCTGTAAACCACTTCCGTGATCTTCAGCGACATTCAGCAGGAGGGATTATTGGAGATTTCGTCACGGTGCTAATGAAATCACACCTGATTTATTTTTCGAGGTGAGCCCATAACGTAAATGTGTTATCTTTTCCGCTAAAGTTGCGCGTATGCTAGCTTTGTTGTTGTTTCTTTCTTCTGGCTCGGTGAGGTTTCTCCGACGTTCACAACGGTACATCGATTTTTCCTTGGCATACGACGATGATTCATCATTTCTATAGGACTTAGGTTCCCTGAAATCCGAGATTTATCGTGGGTTCCTTCAAATCATCTTGGTCGTGCAGATGTTTGTGGTGGGACCGCGCCTGATCCTTAGCCTTCGACGTTATCGGGCTGAGCTCGTGACCTACTCTAGTGCAGGAACGGATATAATTTCAATTGCTCTCCAGGAGCGCGGGCATGCGTCAACTGCCAGTAGTGCATAGCATCGATGCGATTAACACATGTCGGATACTCTGTAGACTATAGTGCGAATAATGCCTGACACCCATAACTTTATATCAAGCCAACGGCAGTAATCAGCTCAACGAAAATGGCATTTGTTTGGCTAGTACCCCCTGCCACTCCCAGCGGCGAATACCTTGTGAGTGTATTTATCCTCTATAGACTGCCCACCTTGTTCACCGGAGCAATCGGTATTCTGTTGTCAGGGAGCGAGTCTATTCATTCATTATCTAATAACCTCACGCCTGACCAAAATCAATGTTACTGATGTTGACAGACTGAATGGTTTGATCCACCAAGTCATGATGTCAGTGGCTATCGCCCCACAACCGCCTCTCTACGACCCTCGTCATGATGTTCAGCATGACCCTCGTTATATTTTCCATAGTGATCCCCGCGACCCTCTGTACCCATACAACCACTGTTACCATGTCCGCCATCGCAAGGTCCTGAATCAGCGCGAAGTAACTCTAAATTTTTAACTACCACTCTCTCTCTACCCCCGCGATGCCTTGTACCAGCGTGAATCCCGCTACCCTGCTAGTTTTCCACCTCCAAATATTTACGGTTCCAGTGAAGTTCGCGCAGAGTGATTTCAATACTCGGGATAGCTCTCCTACATTGGTCACGATGAGCGGGAACGTTCACATATACCCCTTGTAGCTGCCCTGAGGCTGTTTGGTAGCTTCTATGCTCTGTGATAGTTGTTATGTCGATACCAGTACCAGTATAATTACTGCATAGCAAATGTCTCGTTCAGGACATCCCCCATGCTGGCAGAACAATAGGAATCTGATTCTTGCGCAGGAATAGAGATGATGATGATCAATCATCACACCGCCTGACTCTCGTGCATTGGAAAACGGGGATCTGCATCAAAGATGAGTATCAAATGATTGAATGACAACAACGCGAATGATGGGAATACAAATACAATGGGGTCACTATACCGACGAACGGGAGAACTTGAAGCTTCCTTGGTACAACGTGCTACTAGTAACTAAACCGGGAACCATAGAACACCGGAAAAGCGCTAAGGGTCGTGACCACTGACAGGAGGTGACAGGTCGGAATAAATCTAAGCAGTGGTCAGGGGTTTGACCAAATACCATTTAACCGAAGCTGATCACTCCTGCTTTCCATATATCCTAATGTAGGGGGATTGTGAAACTTGGTCTTTCTCAGTTGTGCGTCCCCACGCATCAGTACTAGACTGACATTTGTCCATAGGGCCGGAGATGATGACCACTTGGTGATTAATTTGACAATGAGGCATGTGGGCCAATCAAAACCTCAGGCAGATCCAATGGCCCTTAGGCCTTACCGTTTCACCATATGCTCCCGTGGAATTACGTCATCCATGGATCATAATTGAGCAGATATTAGCTAATCATGGTGTCATGAATGGAGGAGGTCGGGGTATATTACCTGATGGGATGGAACAGTGAGGAGCAGCAAGAACAATGATAGCAGACTCGTCACAAGGCCACAGGAATACACTCTGAATGTTACAGAAACGATGAAAGTGCAACACAAAACACAAATAGTATAAAAGTGAAGAATAATGTACGTGAGACAACGGAAACAAACTCGTGTGTGAAATAGCAGTTCGACAAGAAAGCATAGCAGGTCGTGGAAAAGTTCGCAGTATCATGATGCACCGGGTATCAAACATACCATCGCAAAACTCAGACAAGCGCAGCAGATTGCAAGTATCCTCGGAAAATCGAGTCTCGTACTGCATAGTGGATAAGTTGCCGAAACGCTGTGTTTGCAATTTTTAGAACGTACCATTTCCTATGATGCTTTGGGTGGCTTTGGTATCCTGAGCGGCCGCCAAGGCATCAGTCCGCGCCAAACGGGCAGTGAAATGAAAACAAAACGTACGACGACGTTGGTTAAGTGTGTGTACAGCACACGTCTGTTTTCGTTATTCCGTCTGTGGACTTGGAGAAAGTGGGCGCGGAAGTACTGTACAACCGACTCGTACTCGTTTGGACGGTCGCCATACGAGAGAATGCTAAGACCAGCTGCGTCAGCACGTTATAAACGAGAATTACGAATGCCTTACTATTTCGAGACGGATAGCCCTCGTTCAAGCTTTCTTTCTTAGGATATCGGTCTTGTCTGCAGTGAGTATATTGGATTAAAACATTTCGTGGGACCACTAGCGTGAGACAACCCACTCAAGAATAAGACTAGATGGACCTTCTTGAGGAGCTGATTGGAGCAAATTTGTGTAAAGAGTTGAAGTGAGTCGTCAATACGATTGGTGCGGGGGTCTTCCTCAAGGTACTGGGAAGAAGCACCAAAGTATGTAAAGATACCAAAAAAAAAGTAGGTGCTCAAGCTCTCACCTGATCGAAAGCACTGATTGGGCTGACAAAAATGATGGCGTTCGCGTCGTCGAAATACGGCACCCATGAATGACGCTGTCCCCTGGCGCCACCAACGTCAAAGAGATGCCACGTCACAGTCTTGCCGTGAATGTCAACGTCGAAAATATGCTCAGCGACACCCATAGTTTGGATACGTGCATGGAGAATATCGTCTATGAAGAGGTGAGCACGAAGACATCAGCTTGACGAAAACGCGCACCAGTGGACGGTACATAATTCCGTGCAGAGATACGTGAGATGTCATTCAAGAAACTGAGCAAAATTCCATTTTTAGAGAAGAGGAAGATGCATATATGCACATACTCACAACTCTGACCACTCATCTAGTTTTAATTTTCGGCTTGTCATCAAGGCACGGACAACCTGATTCTCCCACAAGGTTCGGATATCTTCTCTCGACTGTTCCAACATTCTCGCGACATCATCCACAAGAGGGTCAGCATCAATAACTGACAGAGCTGTTCCGGGACGCTCAATTGTCAGTTCATCCTCAGGTGAACCGGGCTTTTGTTGCCTGCGGAGTAGCTTCTGACCTTTTTGGATGGTCCTCGCCTGCCATCCGCTTCGAACGTAAACTTCGCCTTTGCCAGACCCCGACACAGAAACACCCCCACTCAAGCGATCAGCAAGCTGAGGCTCGGTATTTGTGAGTGGTAAAAGGCGTCGCCGGAGATCCGATATCGCAGTAGATCCCCGAATGGGACTAGATGCAGTTGGACTAGTGGGTGACGTAGGTGACGGCGGCGAAAGGGCAACACCGATTTGTGAACTGTGTATACTGGGTGTTGCCGAACTTGAAGCTCGCGGGGGAAGATAATCACCGAGTTCCTGACGCTCAAGAGTGCTCTGAGAGTCACTCCCATCATCGATGTCGTCCCAAGCTTCTAGGGTTGTAAGGATCTTTTTAATGGATCGCACGACATTGAAATATACGACAGTTCTCCATGACATGCGCTCGCTTTCAAGAGAAGCAGGGCTGTACATGAGCTGGAACTGCTTTTGCAGTGTTGATTTGCCAGATTCAGCCTGGCCGAGGAGAAGTAGCTATCGCATACGACGGTGATCAGCTCCACAACCTAATCGTGCTCAAAAAGACTTGAAATGACCTTGACATCACTTTTGGACTTTTTCAATTTTTCCCTCTCAAACCTAAGTTCCTCGTCTATTTGTTCTGAAATTCGACGCGCGTCAGCCTCGTGTTGGAGCCGAATATGGCGATCTGAGTCTGATTCTTCTGGAGGAGGCCGTATAGCAAGAGACAAGGGGTCATCTTGACTACGAATAGAAGAAGTTCGCATCATCGTGGTACAGAGGCAAGAGTTGAGTGAGATAAAAAGCTGTCGATATTACTTATCCAAATTGAACAGCTTCGCTATTAAAGACTAGGCAGTCACAGCCTATCGCGTCACACAGTCACATTGTCACGCATGGTAATTTCTCCTCTCCTCCATCCAACGCATATACTGACTCACAGTTCTCTTGTAGTCTGTAACGCTTCATACAAGCCACGGCGAGCTCAAGGTGCGCGCATACACAGCCAACTAAAATTTCTGCGATTCACCCGGAAATTTTGGGTGATTCAGATCGAGGTATTCTGCGAGGCTGTCCCCAAAACGGCAGAGGTATGAAATTGCTTCCGTTTATCTCTCTTCCGAACCTGACAAGCCCTAGAACTTTCTGGCGCTGTGCGCTTCGAATTACTATGATAATTGCATATTTCACCGCAACATCAAAGGGTTTATGACCCAGACGGGCGATCCTTCTGGCTCAGGAAAAGGTGGCCAAAGCATATGGGGAAAACCCTTCGAAGATGAATTGCGGTCCACGTTGAAGGTACCGGATACGATCTTTGCCGAGCACATGGATCTTCACGTTTCTACATAGTTTAACAATCGTGGTATCGTTGCCATGGCGAACTCCGGCCCCGACACAAACAAGTCGCAGTTCTTCATAGCCTATGCAAAACAGCCTCATCTGGATAACAAGTATACGATTTTCGGCAAGGTCATTGATGGTGCAGACTCCACACTGGATGCCATGGAACGCGTTCCTGTGAACAATAAGAACAGACCGCTCTCCGAGATCAAACTGACACATGTATGTTATCACTGGTGGATTAGGCAGCATGTGTGCTAATCTGATCTTCTTTGATGTCAACATTAGGTAACCATCCATTCGAATCCCATTGCGGACGCTCTCTTAGTTCCACGCTGATCCTAAATGTGAACGTTTGAACCTTCTGTATCAGTTTGAGTGCAAACTCCAAAATCGTTATATCAGATGAATTTTCTTGAATGCTACAGAACACCCCGGGAATGCTAACGCTTGATAAAACCAACCAGCTCTTTCTGCAGCTCCCTTTGCTGTCGCGCTTTTTCTAGGTCATCCACGCTTCGCAGATCATAAACAATATCACGAGTTTTCCCGAAGTACACCTGTGGTGTGATCAGGTCCCTGAATGTCTCAAGAAAGAAAACTTCGTACCTCTTGAAGAAGATTTCTCATTTTCATTTCCATCTCTTCGATCATCTTTCCCGTGTTCGTAATATGTGAAGTCGGTTCATGAACAGGCCAGTCCTGCTCGGTCTGCGGGAAGTGAAGGTGTGTGACAGCCCCACATCAAGTTAGACGAGGAAGCCTACCTGTCTCGTCATGCTTCCACTTAAAGTAATCTCCCCCGACGACTTCCATCCCTGCTCAGAAGCCTTTTTTTCTGGTTCGCCGAGAACGGAGGTTTCATCGGCCTTATTGTTCTGTTTCGTCACTAGCTCTAACATGACAGTAGATGTGAGCTTGTAGTGCGCTTGTCTTCCGCGCTCTGCGGTCTCGAAGACATGGATCGAGTCCCATGAACCTGAGGGCTCGTCGGGACTTGTGGGTGTCATTACTAGGGTGCAGACAGTTAGAGACTTGATCTTAGAACGCTAAAAACACATCAGTCAGCTACCCACCCTTCTTGAGCAACACAACGCCTGCAAAGCCGCCATCTTCGAGATCCCAAAGATAAACAGAAGACACGCCACCTTCGTAATATCTATTGCCAAGATTTATTAGATGACACTTGTGCGAATATTCACTGCAAGCGTAATTTATGCATGTCACGTACAGTTCGCGGTATGTATCGAACGCCTCATTGGCGGCGATCTCAAGCTTGCGAAGCTTCGGCGTTGGTGCTGTACCATCTTCTATGGGCGGGTCGTATTCATTCGACCAAGGTGACCTGATGAAGGGCGTTAATACGTAAAGCACATTGTCTCCGATCTCGGATACGTGAAATAGGACTAGAGTCCTTGTCATTCCACAACATCCAACTTATGCAGTCACTCTGAACACATTCACCGGAAGCGCAGCAGAAGACTCACCGATAACTATCACCATCTCTATTGTAATCGCATGCAAGATAATCCTTCCCTGTTGCCCGGTCTGTCTTGACCTTCAGGGGCTGGTCGACGCTACCTAGAAGGTCATCTGCATAGTCTGGGCAGATCTGTATGAGCGCGTTCACGTTCTCCTCGACATTGGTAGGCGGAAGACGACGCATCAGATCGAGCATCGAATCAACTGGGTCTGGCCCTTCTGCCATCGCGAACTGCTCCGTGGACGGTCGTATGAGCTTAGATAGGATAATTGATAAACGAACTTGTTGAAGGAAACTAGCGTTCTACTGATCGAGTCGCATCTGGATTCTGAACAGCATCCGGCGGCAGGGCCAAAACAGGATGTAACTTTTGTAAGTCCGCCACTCGCACTTTGCTTCAAATCTCAAATTACAACAATTACTAATGGCGGTTGAATTGTTCTCCTTTCCTACAGAGTTGATATGGCACATCCTACTAATTCTTACCCCAAAGGATATTTGTCGTTGTGCAATAGTCGGTTGTTTCCTGTGGTTCCATGTGACGAACTCACTACTGGTTTCAATGTCAGACCTGCAAGGCCTTCTGGAACGTGATCCGGAATTCTGTACGCATTCAATACAAGCTTGAGCTTTATGCTCAGGGCTTCACTGGGACCACTACCCTGCATTCGATTGGTGTCTCCAGAAAGATGTCCTTGCTCAAGAAATCGGCATCTTTGTGGCGGTCTGGCTTGCATTTGAACACCGTCTTTGAAGAACGAGTGATGATTTCCACCTTCCCCGCACATCCTTCACTACCATCGCTACTGTCCGGCATGAAATGTGGCCTTTTGTGGATGTTGGTAAATGGCGATACCTTCATTAGGGACTATAACACGAATACTAACCTTTCTCGAATATGGGCCTTACATGGGTTATCCTCTCAGCACCGACCGAAAAATCTTGCTATCGACCCTCTGCAAGATCTTGTGGTCACAGTCTCCTCGCCTGATGTTGTGACCGTGACCGACGCCGAACAAGATCACCATACCTTTTGGGTGGAGTGTTGGTCAGCTTCATATCAGCGTCCCCATCCGGACTCTGTCGGCGCTTCCTTAGAGTGCAGACGTACTTTTTCTGGCCTGTACCGTTTCCATTTTATTGGAGAGCCTGTAATCTGCGGTGATCGTATATTTGTCTACTATGTCATATACCGCGGTGGTATACCTGCTGCTGCGTTCATCCAAGTCATTGATTGGAGGAGGGGAGACGTAAAGAGTGTGAGTGCATTTGTTCTTGAGAATTCTGCCGCTCAGTATAAGCAGCACCATTTACTAGATCATCAATATCTCGAACATGGAATCTACGTAGTCGACCAATGGACGATTGTTGTCATCGGCTCGAGCCGTCTAACCGTGTACACACTACAGGAATTCGATGGGTCGCTGCTGCCCAGACTCATATATCTCCTGCCGAAGTGTCACCGTTCACCCTTGATATTTGTTCATGCCAGCCCATCGTTCAGCGGCACAGCCGCTCGCGCAGATCTTACACCCGGCTTTGTGCCCTCTCTAGAGTCACAGATCATTGTCTTAGACATCATCTCATACCCGTGCACGACGTCTGTCATTCTAGTCGTTGATACGGTGATCTTCTCGGGAATGGATTTGCAATCAGAGACGCATGTCGAGATTCCCTGGTCCGACTGGGGTCCCCAGCATACGTGCTGCTTTCCGCATGAGGGCAGTCACAAAATCAGTGTGTTCGGTAGCAGAATGGCGTATACCCTCCCTCAAGATCACACCCCTGAACCTGGACAAAGACTGGAAGAACTCTCCCGCCAGGGTCACTTCTACGTCCATATCTGGGACTTCAATAAACGAGCCATTGCTCGTTCGGAGAATTTCTACAATCTCGACTCACCAGACCTACTCATTCGTGTTTTGATGAAGAAATTATCTCGAATCACCCTTACACTGCTACCGTCTGCCGTACTCGATTTTTGATGGGTGGCTTGTTCGAATTATTCTTAGGTCAGGATCGACTTATCTTGACCTCGGTAGGTTTTCTTAGTTGTGAGCACAACGATGGTTGAATATAACCATACTACAGGTGCGGACTGGCATTGGTACAGTCGATATCCAAGTCGTCTCCCCTGTATAGATGGAGGTTGGGTCGGATTTTACACACTAGAATGAATTTCAGTAGTGCAGGAGGAACAACAAGTCATCGTGCTTCATGCTACCAATCTTGTGTAAATCAACATCAGACTGTTTGTATCTGCATGGGTGGTGCAGTGGTGTTCAGTTTCTCCCGATCTTCAAACTTGGTAGGCGGGACCCATCAGATTGAGTAGTTCTAGCCCTTCCGTTTTCATGCTTTACTCTGCGGACGGTCGGATTCGCCTGCACGGAAAATTTGATATACGAAATTGAAGATGCCAAGAATACCCCAAAGATCGCACTACATAGCACGTTGCCAAGATCACGAACAGTTCTCCGATCGCTCTTTTGCGACTTTCAAACATTCCGCGTGAGTCACCGCTTTGCGATTTCACCCGACAACTTTTAACCTGATCCCACCGGTATCCTCGGATGCGCACTGTCTTTCTATTGGAATTCATGCTGAAATACTTACTTAGATCAATCAGATATCAATCCCTCAAATATCACTTTGGCAATGTAAGCGCTGGATTGTGGTATATCAAGCACAAATGCGATCGTTATATGTCCACCAAGTTCCTCCGCTCGCTCACCCCCATCCTCTAACAATATGACTCTAGTCTCGAATGATCCCAGCTGGTGGCCAGTCATCAATGCGAGTCTTATTAGCAGCTATTTTATAGGTTCGTGGAGAGTCAGCCGCATGATAACAGAGACTGACCTTCGCTGCCATTTCGCAGTCGCCGCCTCTGTCGGAATAATGTACGATTGGGGTGAGCAAGATTAAGTATGAAAAGACCACTGACATTACTGTATTTCTAGGACTTGCGTTTGGAAAAGAGGTACGTCGATCCATTACTGGGGCAGCCAACTCACTTAAAATTGTGTTATAGGTTGAACTGATCTGGGTGAGCGGACTCCCACATCAAAAGAACGACGTGAAAATACAACTTGTTCACAGAGGCAACGCTGGTCCCTGATGACTTTGCTCTATCTCGGTGTATGTACCTTGTGTTTTAATATTAACAAGTATAGGTTTTGTTGACTTCAAAATATCCTAGGTGCGCTATGCTGGAATAGGATTTGCTGCGTACGTTTGGAAGTTTAGGCCATTTATGTTGCGCTCATTATCTCACAATCAGGATGAACATTTTGAGTATGTCCCCTCACATACCCTGTTTCTTTCTTGTGACGGGCGACATACAGATGATGTTCCAACAATTTCGATGACAGATGCTGTGAGTATTCACTGATGTCTTCCATTCCTGTCCAGACACTGAACTACCACGCAGGGGTGAGTCAGATTCTCGAACAACTCGCTGATTCAACATAATGACTCCCACAGCTGTGAGTTTTTTTCGGGCCTGTGATCATCCGAAGCTGATAACTAATGTTGCTGGATTCGTCAGGCCTTATCATGTACAGGGCACTTAATTGGACAGGCGACGTTGTAAATGTACTGCTGGGCGGTGAGCTATACGTATCCGTGATATTGACTTGATTGAAACATCACTGCAAGTCATCATGATCGCTCGGTTACATGCCATGTATCAGCGATCCAGAATGGTGCTGATATTTCTCGTTGTCGTCTTTGTGGCCATCAGAATAACCAACGTAGTGGTGGGAGCAATAATGACGATGCAGATTTTAGGGGGTAAGTTTTAATTATGTATGAAATGTTTAAGTGTATCAGTCTCATTGAGAAATAACAGAGGAATTCGTTCTCTCCGGCACGTATCATTGCATGTTTGACTTCACAGAAGATTCCCTATTTCTGGAGTCCATAACTTGGATACTTGGCACTGTATGGGAGGCCCTGGCACTGTGTTTCGCAGTCTGGATTGCTGTAAAGCACTTCCGTGAACTGCGACAACATTCAACAAGTGGTATTATCGGGGACTGTTTCGCGGTGTTAATGCAAACTCATGTTAGTTATTTTGCAAGGTGAGCTCATAATGTGAATGTGGTTCTCTTGTTTCGCTGAAGTTTTGCACGTGCTAGTTTTTTGGTCGTCTCTTGCTTCCAGATTGGCTTGTTCTCTCCGACGCTCTCAGCGGTAAGCCGATCTGTCACCGACCTCTACATGCAATCATGATTCATCGTTTCTCCGTTTCTCTAGGACACAAATCCCCTGGAAACTCTGATTTATGTTGGTCTCGATGAGATATTCCAGTCCGTGCAGTTGTTTGTGCTGGGACCACGCCTCATCCTCGGTGTTCGCGAATATCATGCTAAGCTCGTGGCCAACTCTGATACAGCAACCGCTATGACTTCGATTGCTTTCGAGGAGCGCGTCCAAGTGTCAACTAGCAATAGTGTGTAGCGCAGGAGATGCTCGATATGATTTACTTGCGATGGGCGGGTAGTGTGCAGGGAGCAAGAGAATTTGTTTTTATTTATTCCAGGTTTTGTCGTGGTACTTATTTATGTAAGTTGCGAGGCAGATATAGGTCATACAAGACCTTTTTTTTTTTTTGGCAAACTATGAGTAGAGACTCGCCCTGACGCTGAGGTTCACGCACTCGATCTCAGTAGTGCTGCCAAGATTGTAGCGGCTGGTGGAAATCCGTTCGCTCCTGATGCCATCGCTGAAAAATCATCTGCTGTTTCCAGGACCTCAGAGAAGTACTCGACCACTTGAGTGGCGTCTGTGGACCCTTTCAGTACCCCCGTTCATCCCAGCTGCTCCAGGGTTACGCGCTGAGTACCTCTAACAGGACTTTGGCTCATTGATCAGGCTACTTCATTGAGCCCAACCGGATCTGGTGCTGCAGTACCATCGACCACATTCGAATTGAGATGACGAGGGCGCATGGCGAGAAACTAGCGAACGCACCGGACGGTCCGATTCGGAGCTAATTTTCAAGCGTCGTTAGAAAAAAATGGACGCTTCGTGGTGTACAACACACAAATCAATAAGAAGAATGATTAGACAACAACATTTGCTCAAAATTTTGAAGTCGAAGGACTCGCATATACTCACTTGCGTGCTAGTGGCGAGAAGGTCAAGCTGCAGTTCGTCGACAGCATGAATCTTGTCCACATTGAAGCAAATAGGCTTCAAGATGATAGAAAGATGATATGGGTAACCCTGCGCAATTGGAAAGCAACGCAAGGGCATTGCAACATAGAGATGTAATAGAGTCAAATCGTGAGCGTCCTTGTGAATGTAACATCGAAAACGGGTATACGCTAGGTTGATGAGAGCGACGATACGGTCAGGATGGTCAACTGGGCACTGGTCCAGAACAAAGTGTAGTAAATTCTTTACCGCATCAGTCATGTCAGAGACACTCGCCTGTTGGGTATTTAGTAAATCGTGTGTGGCCTGCATATATGCATCGAACATTTCTAAATCTAAGAATGAACCCCAAATTAAACTTTTGTTGGTAGAAATCGAAGGCATGGAGTTACTGTTACTTGCATCAAGTGATGCACCATCATTGTTTATGCGAGTCCGACCTTCGGCGTGAGAGATGGGTGGACACCACGGATGGGTGAAAAGGATAGATCTACGACAAGTTGATAGACATGCATGAATATAAAACATACTACTTACGGAAGGGTTTCTCTCTACGATCAAGCAGTTCGTGCTACAATATTTCAAGTTTGCCAGTGACTTTTCAATGCCCCAGCATTTGGTCAAGCTCGAAGGACGCCATGAACATTTAGGTGACTCATCTGGAAATCTGAAAAGGAACGATGGGTATTGGAAACACGCGAGTCTCTGTGGAAGTCCTTACAAGGTCACAGTATCGATTCACACTACAGAATTGTCGGATGATAGCACTTGGACAACTAACTTGCGATGTCTCCTTGAGCCGACGTTGACAAACACGTAAACTCTTGCGAGTGTGCGGAAGGAGAGAACTTTGTTAGTTATTGTATCCGCTCATGAGCGAGAATGGAATTAGTTGCCCACCTTCAGGCCTCAGGCCTAAAATGCTGGTTGATGGTGCGCTGAAGTAAATGACAAGGAAAGTTGAGGATATGCTGAGTGGGGCGAAATGAGCAGTAGGATAAGACGGAGTAGGGTGAAAAGGGGAAGCTGAAGTGTGCACAAATACAATATTTATTATGAATCTTAGTGATACGATTATGATACAGCGAAAGTGGCACGCCAAGGTTGGAGGGGATATGCGAGTCTGAGATCTAGAGGTTGATAGCTAAGTTGTATCACCCATCTTCGACACACCCAAGTGTGCACGTATGAGCAGCTGATACAGTAGGTCGCAACAGGAAACTTACGAAATTGAAAAGCCCTGCCCTGAATCCTCTTGGCAGCCATTAACCGATATGACATCCATCCTCCAAGGGACATTTGTCGCTGCACAATAGTCAGGCGTTTCCCCATTATTCCATGTTTCCTCTTACGGAGCCCTAGACTAACTTCTGGTCAGACCTGCAAAGCCTTCTGGAATGCGGCGTGGAATTCTGTAGATGTTCAATACCAGCTTCAGCTCTAGCCAGGGTTTCACCGAGAGTCCGAGACCACCGTCACAACCTGGACTCGTTTTCAGAAAGATTTCCTCACTCAAGGAGGAAGTTGACATCGTTGTGGCGGCCTGACTTTCATTTAAACACTGCTTTTGATGAAGCAGTTGTCGTTGATGCCACCTATGAGCCTGCGTTCGGGCCAGGTTTCGTGACATGGCGGCAATACTTGAGGTGTGGGCTTTGATGGATGGAGGATCGGATCGGTCTCTTCAATCTTCGGGACTGTAACACAAATATTGAATCAATCTTTCCCGGACGTGGCCCACACGCAGCTATGGCTTTCATTATCTCACTATTGACACTCTGCAGGATCTCATGACGGTCGTTGTCTTCTCGCGTGATAATGTTGCCACTGTGACTGACGCCCAGCAATATCACTACGTCTTTTGGGTGGAGTGTCGGTCAGCTTCGTCCCAGCGTTACCATCCGGACTCTGTTTGCCCTACTTTGGAGTGCAAACATACTTTTAATGCACCTGGCTCGTACCGCGTTCGTTTCGTGAACAGACCATGCAATATGTGATGATCGTATGGTTCCTGTGTCTATGGCCTTCAAAATGATTGATTAGAGGAAGGGATATGCGAAGAGTGTGAGTGCCTCTATTCTTGAGAAGTGTCCAACTTAGCATAAGCAGCATCCTTTATGTCTACCAGGCACCGACGGGATTGAGGAGCCCCTTCATCTAGTTAGCGAACTGACCATCATTGTAGTTGGCTCGCAAGGCCAAGTAACCTGATTCACATTAGAAGACATCGATGCGCCGCCTCGGCGTCCTTCTACGTCCACACCTGGGACTTCGATATGTGAATTATAGCTCGCACGGACCAAATATACGATCCCGACTCACCAGACCTTCCCCATTCTCAAACCTGGTGTGGTAGCTCGTATTTCGATGGAGAAATTATTTCGCTGCTACCGTCCGACGGATGCCCGTTCTGGTGGATTACTAGAAACAGGATCGGCTGATTTTAGCTTGGGCAGGTGTTTTCGGTTTTGCATACTGCGATAATTCGAGGCCAGACTGTAGGTGCGACTTAACAAGATTGATATTTAGCTCGTTTATCCTGTGCAGATGAAGGTTGTGTCGGACCTACAGACTAGAATAAATTTCAGTGGTCTATGATAAACAGCAAGTTACATTACCTCATGTCCAAGTCTTGTGTAAATTGATCCTTAGACTCGAAGCAGACAGTTGTATATTTGCATTATCCTCGACCTTGGTTGGTGGGGGACGATCCATCAGATTGATTTTTGCTGAGTCAACCGGGTCTGACACTTCTTTCATATCTTATGTGGTGGTCGGATGGAACGAAGGATAGATATGCAAATTTGTGCATCCTGTCTCGTCGAGCAGTGAACAGCATCCGTAGGCCAAAACAGGAAGTCAGATCTTACTTTCAATTCGAAAGGTCCACTGTAAAAGTATTTTCTTCTTCTCAGACCATCAAGATGGCGGTCGAAATTTTCTCCCTTCCTACAGAGTTGACATGCCACATCCTATTATTCCTTGCTCCAAGGGATATCTGTCACTGTGCAATGGTCGGTTATTTTCCGCTGTTCCATGTAACTTCCTAGACTAATTTACTTCTGTGTTCAACACCAGACCTGCAAAGCCTTTTGGAATGTGGCGCAGAATTCTGTGGACATTAAATATAAGCTTGAGCTTTATGCTCAGGGCCTCATTGAGACTGCTACTCTGGACTCGACCAGTCTTTCCAGAAAGATGTCCTCACTCAAGAAATTGACATCATTGTGGCGGTCTGAGTTTCGTTTGAACACCGTCTTTGACGAGGCAGTGATTGCTGCTGCCATCGACGGACTTCCTCCATGGCTGCAATACTCATCATGGACACAATCCGTGAAGTGTGGCCTGTGGTGGATGTCGACACATGGCGGTCTCTTCGTTCGAGACTGTAACAAAATTCCCAACCTTTCCCGGACGTGGCTCAAACACAGCCCATTTTCTTCGGACCAACCGCCCATTCGTCTTACTGTTGACCCTTTGCAGGATCTTGTGGTCTTAGTTTTCTCGACTGTTTTTTTCGATGTGGCCGACACCGAACAAGATCACCACGTCTTTTGGGTGGAGTTTCGGTTAGCGTCATCCCAGGGTCCCCATCCGGATTCTGTCTGCGTTTCCCTGGAGTGCATGCATACTTTTGATGCACCTGGCTCGTATCATGTCTTTGTGACAGCGCCTTCGATCTGTGGTGATCGTATATTTATCTACTATTACTTGAAAAACATGGAGAATATGACTGTCTCCGCCACGTTCATACAAATGATTGATTGGAGGAAGGGAACTGCGAAGAGGGTAAGTGCCTCTCTTCTTTCCGAACTCTGTCGCTTAGCATAAGCAGTGTCTTTTACTAGGTGGACCAGATAATCTGCAGCAAGTCTATGCAGTCAACCAAAGGACCATTGTTGACTTTGGCTTGAACTCTTTAACGGTGTACACATTACAGGAACCGGATGGGTCACTACATCCCCGGCTCACGTATCTCCTTCCGAAGAGCCGTCAATCAGACATGCGATTCACGGTTGTTCATGCCAGCCCATCGTTCTGCGGTGCAGCCGCTCGCACGGATCTCGTGCCCGGCCATGTGCCCTCTCCAGAATCACAAATCCTGGTTTTAGAATTTCTTTCAGGCCCGCAATGGCGCCCACTGTCTGTCATTCTAGTCATTGACATGGTCATCTTTTCTGGAACGGCTTTGCAGTCGGAGACGCATGTCCAAATTCCGTGGTCGGAATGGGGACCCCAGCACACGTGCTGCTTTCCGCACGACCGAACCCACCAAATTAGTGTGTTCGGTAGCAAAATAGCCTATGCCCTCCCTCAAGATCATACCCCTGAACCTGGACAAAGACTAGAAGAACTCCCCGACGAGGGTCACTTCTACATCCATATCTGGGACTTCAACACGCGACTCATTACTCGTTCGGAACATATCTACAATCCCGACTCATCAGATCTCCCCATTCGGAAACCCGGTGTGGTAATCCAGTCGTGCTTTGATGAAGACATCATCTCCAATCATCCTTACACTGCTATCGCCTGCCGTACGCCTTTTCCGACAAATGGTTTCCGCAAGATGTTTTTGGAACAGGATCGTCTTACTTTAACATGGGTATGTGTTCATA